TAAATTTAATAAAGCCGGGGCTAAGTAGTTAGGGCGAAAATCAAGAAGCCAGCAATTATTTGGTTACGCAATTACCACAGCCAGGCAACCGGCAGGTTCAATAGGCTTAAATAATTTGCCCAAATCCCCCTGGCGCAAAAACAAACAAATAAATTCAATGCAAAAGGGGCGCAAAACTTTCCGGTCTCGAAAAACACAAACACAAATAGTGAAAGTTTACAGGAATGATACGGGGCCAGGGGAAAGTGGGAGTGGCACGAGAGCTGGGGAAAGTCAAAGCGACAAAAGCCATCTCCTGAATTGCCCCACAATTTATTATTATTGTTTTACACAAACAGCAAATGCGCGAAAATATAGCTGGCTCAAAGCAAAAAGAAGGAACTAAATATTGCCGAATTTTGAACCACAACAACTAATTTTTTAGTAGTTCCTTTAGTGAAAGTATCAGAAAGCAACAAAGTGGAATTGCTCAACTACCGGAAAAGTTTCAAAAGTGAAGTTTCCTAGCCTTAGTGTACTTTCATTTAGAAAAGTGCAGCAAACAATTGAATTTTTATTATTATGCGATTTGCTTTACATTCAAAATTAAAAGGGAAAGCCAAACAATTCCACTAAACTAGAAAACTTTGAAATTAAACCAAATAAAAATGGTATAAAATCTTTAGCAACGCTCAAATGAATAATATTTAGAAAAATTCTACTCAACATTGCGAAAAAGTGGCACTCCAAATATTTATTTAACAACTATCTCGTTTTTCAATAAACGATTTTAATTTATTTATTGCCGGTCATTCATCAGCGCGATGATTTACACAGCCCAGAGGAACATTTGTTTTGCCTGCAGGACTGCAACTCAATCATGTGCGCTTTAAAGAATTTATATTTATGACCAGATGCAATCAACGGAACCAATGTGTCCGCGAATTGTCCATCAAAACGAGAGCCCCAGCAAGTAATAATAAAAACAAATGCATTTCGCATTAAATCAATTCGCGTTGACTTGCTGGCCACAAAAAGTTGCACAAGCGCCCATCAATCAAACATAAGACTCGAACAAAACCAGGACAAAATGGCAAAGGGATAAGCCCCGGCCGCAGATACACATGAATACCATATAAACTGCACATGGACTCATACATTTAATTAAAATGCGGCCCAGACACAATATTCGTCAAAGTGATTGGCCCGAAAGCGGCTTAGTGAACTTAAGTAAATTAAATGTTATGGTTGTTGTGGCAGGCGGGGCGATTGTGGAAAAGCTGGGGAAAACTCAATGAAAATTGTCTTTAAAACTGTTTTCGGCGACGACAAAGCGAATCGCAATAAATACTCCGCCAAGTGGTGGGTGTGTCTGGGCTCAGAGGGTTGGTACAGGGCTCCGGGAAATTTGCATATTTTAAATTACTAGTGAGGCCTCTTGGCAGCGATTGCTTCTGGGGTTGACAATGGCGCAGCCACGACAACTCCAATTTATTTGTAATTTGTTCGAAATTTATATCAGGCGCAAACCCATTTCCTGCCCCCAGAGGGTCTCTATTTCACACACTCCCTGCCACAGATAATTGCACTCATAAAATGCCAAATACTCAGCCCCGCACGCTTCGATATTTATGCCTCGAAGTGATACCCACTGATCAAGAGGGTATCGTAGAATATAGGATTTCTTCCTTTTGTAATTTAATAAGTTACTTGATCTTAGCAGATTTTTAAAATTTTGAGAGCAACGATCTTAAGAAATTTTATTAATGGTTTGGTGTTAAAAGTTCTATAAGAATATGTTACTGAAAGTATTTAAGCGGTATATTCCAATTAATCTTCCCTGAACAAAACAAGGAGAAAGCAAGAATCGTTAACCTGGCATTCTGGTAAACAGCGATTTTCTATTTATTTTCCTAATGGTATTCGACCGATTTATCTGATAGTTGGCAACATCAGGTCGATACCATCATTCCCAGGAAGTCCAATCCCACATGTAGACATATCTTAATGCTCACAGACTTGGGGTTGCTGGGAAGCTTGCAAACAAACAAATTATGTGCTCATTTGAATACACATTCTAATGCGAATCACGTTGACAAAAATTCATTGAAGCGTGCAGGATACGCACACGAGCACACGCACTCAGCCTCACTGGACGGAGATACCTTGACTTTCGAACTCTGGTCTATCCAATCAGGCCTGCTGGGGTCCTGGCAGGTCCTGGCGCAGATAGAGATACGGGGAGTGGCAAATTGTCCCACCTCGGACGCTGACAAGGACATATTTATAAAGCGCTCATTTCGAGCAGAGCACATACGTATACATAAAGATGGAGAGGCATCCCAATATCCAGTTAATCTATCAGGACATGGTGCAATGTGTAGAAAATTAAATGTGCTTTCTAGAGTCTCAGACACTATGAAAAAAGTTTAGGATCATGAACATTGGGTATTCAAAATATACAGTTTGGATCAATAACTTTTGAAATTTCCTCTGCAAATATCAGTGTTGGAAAAGGTAATACTTTGTTGTACCTAGTTAAGGTACAAGTTTGGATCAATAACTTTTGAAATTTCCTCTGCAAATATCAGTGTTGGAAAAGGTAATAAGGTACAAGTTATTTACAAAAATAAATATCTAGATAAAACGAACATAATTTATAAATTAAAAGTTTCCTTGGATAAGGGGCAAAAATAAAAGTATGCAATGTTTCTTAAAAAGTTAAAAATAAAAACCCAAATTAAGTTAAAAGTTCAAGATTTGGATAGATTACCATAAATATTAATGGACCTTAATATTGGCATTTTAATTATAAAATCAATAAATATTTTTCTTTTTAAATTTACTTCCCCCGATTTTAGTCAATATTAAATATTTATTATGCTGAAGCGTAAATGAATATTAAGTTAAGTAAGTTCAAAGTTTCACAACACTATTAAATAAAACCTAAATCAAACCAAACATAAACAGATAAATCAGGCAAGATATAAAGTGCCAGCGAAAGAACTTCCATAAATTAGCTTTTCAAAAATAAAACCTTGTATAAGTTTTCCATTTTAATAATGTAAGCATTTAAGCTAACACAGTTTACTGTTGTTTTCTGCCAGTGCTTTTGTATGCCAATGTCCTTGTTGTGTCTGTGTGTGCCATGTAAATGCAAACTAAATATGTACAAACGCCACAGCCAGGCATTAAGTCGATTGCTTCAAGGACTTTCTCGCGCTTAGCGGAGAAAGCGAGGGGGGGGGGAGAAATGGGAGAAAGGGGAGCAGACGGGTAGGGAAAGGGGGAGATTCCTGGCGGCTTTGTCATTCACACCCAGTTGGATGTCTGCTTCCATCGCTCTATTTCGCATTGTCACTGCTAACAGCTCCTCCCCACTTCGCTTTGGAGCCCCCTCAAGTGTAAATGAGTGGCTCCGTCTTTTGCACCACCGTACCCCCAAAAACCACCCACCTTGCATGGGCTGCGAAGGCTTTTTAATAAGCAATTTATTTTTAGCTTAACAACGCTCATGTAATGAAAAACGCGGAGCCTCTGTTCCACAGGCTTACAATTCACTTGCAACGATTTCCCCGCCCAGCACACGCCCACTTTACCACCCTCCTCGCTGAGCGTGTTTGCCAACGATAATTAATTTTTTGGCCTACCCCAAGCAAGAAGCTAAGACCATGGGTTCGTACCGCATTAAAAAGAAATTAAAATGTTGCCATTCTCCTCCGCATTTTCCACCTCGCCAACCTCAAGTACATCTAATGAGATAACTTGGAGACAACTGGCGAGAATTGAGTGTATAAGGAATAATAATGAACAGCGAGAATACTGGTGGCGTATTTAAGTATAATGCCTATTTAAAGCCGAACGTGTTTTAAATTTTATATTAAGCGTTTTAATAAAAATTGGTTAAGGCATACTTCTGTAGGTAAATCTTGATCGGTCATTATATTTATGAATATTTTTTAAGGTTTTTATGAGATTAAAGATATCCTTTTTAATCTTAAGTTGCACTTTGGCCACACTAAATTTGCATTCCACTCCAACACGCGATAAGTGAAGGTAGGAAATAATCAAGCATTATAATTGTAATTAATTTTAAGTAACAAACAATTTTTTAAAAATAAAGAATTTTGCATTTACGAAGTTTACTTCATTTTAATCCTGGTTTTAAATATATATGGACAAAATCCTACTCAAAATACTAATATTCTGACCCCATATACTATGAGTTAAGAGATTAAGAGATGGCTAGTTCATCTAGGATTAAAATAAATCTTAAGTGGGAGGATCATAAGTTTAAGGATCGAGGATATAAACGCTCCTGTCAAGGGCGTTGATAAAAGCTGCTCTTCGTTTTCATACGGCCACAAATCGCTGGCATCAACATGGCAAAATGGCAACATTTCAAGTCTCCTCATAAATCAATTTCGTTTTTATTGCGAATGCCGTTTGTCTGCGCTACTTTTACATGGCTATTGCCAGCGATTTTTGTGGCCGTTTTTATGTCGTTCAGTTAATAAAGCCGAAAGAACGAAGGCGAAAAAAAGTTGCAAGTTCAACAAACAGGCAAAAACTCTCGGTTTTACTTTGGCCCGCAAGCGTATAAATATTGTTTTAAAACCCCAATGAAATATTGCGAGCGTTTTTGACGAATCGCCATATGTACATACAGCATTTATAAATAAATAAATATAATCATAAATAAATAAAGGCCAAGCACATGACAGCTCCATGGCAAAAAAGCACAAAGGAAAATAAATATTACTCCAAATTGAAAACTTACTTCAAAGCCATCGCGTCGCTTTTGATTTACATATTTAATTTGATTTGCATAAAAACATGCAGTAATAAAAAAAACATACTTAACGTAATTTAATGTACCTTTATTGCAGTTCTTTTTTTCAGAATAATACATTTCACTATTACATTAATATGTTTAAATTATTATGGAAAGCACACTTGTACTTGGTAAATTGTGCTCCCAAAATAATATTTTAAAGCTGTCTGAAAATTTTTCAACCTACCTTTTTATCGTTTTAATCATCCGCGGCTTAGTGTTCCAAAAAAAACCTGAAAAAAGGAAAAGACGGCTTTGAGAAAACAACGAAAAAGGGTTTTTTATTAGAAATGTATAAAACTTTTCGTTCCATTTTGTTTTGTTCCTCTTTTTTAATATAAAATGGCTTTGGGGGAAATTTTGGAAAGTGAAGCGGGTAAGAGGAATATGTAAATATGTGTTGGAAGCTGGATGCCTTGGGAGCCTTCCCAGCAGCATGCTCGGAATTTAAATTTGTAGCTAAGCCTCGAAAAATGCGCGCCGCTTCATTTTGCGAAAGCGTCCTGACCCTTTTGTGGGTGTGTGCGATGTATCTTTGGTGACAAAGGACAATGCCATAAGGCTGCGGGGGCCACAATAAAATTAAATATTATATTTAATGGCGTCGTAGTATGCCAGACGCGTCGCCCAACTTTTCTTGATGCATTCCTGCAGGAACAGGGGCGTGGCTGGGACCTTTGACCTCCTTGGCCTCTTCACAGCTACAACTTGAACTTCCTGCAACGCCTTCAACGTCCAACCCTTTGTTTACTGTAAGTAACGAACCCGGACTGCAATCCAATAAAAATGCCGTAAACTTTCATTTTAATTCCGTTTCCTCTCAACTCAAATTGCATCCAGTTTATTCGAATTCTGATTGTCCGTTTATTAGCCTCGGGCCCCTTTCGAATAACCAAAAATAAGGCCACGTCTCTGTCCGCGCCAGGGGCATGCAAATAAAACAGATTTTATTGGCGCTCCTTGGGTCCTTTTTTTACAACAATTCTTGTCCAACATTTCCCTTTTTTCTGGCCTAACGACTTAGTGGGGGTATGGGGGCTATCCATCTTGGGTAGGGTTGTTGTTTTGCAATTTGGTGTTCCATATAAATTAGGCAGATAATATAAATTAGATGGGATCGAGTCGGCTTGTGTGATCAGATACCCGCACCATATTCAAAGTAAAGCTCTCCCAAAATCGATGACACAAATAATGCCTTAATTAAGCTGCCAAGAAATTTCGCCGAGCCAGCGACGAAAACATAATGAAAAGCAAGCATAATATTTTCATCTCCTGGAGGTCGAGGCCTCAATTCGGGCACTCCACACTTTCCCCAATAGATATTTAATACTCGACAGCAATTTTTGCTTGCCCTTCCACTCAGACCACCCTCCGCAGACCACGAGGGGTAACCACAGCAAACAGAGTCTAAACTTTTTATTTTCCGTTTTTTCCAACGGAAGACGTAATGAGTGGGTGGGTGCCCGGGTGTTAAAGGTCGGGGGCGTACTCAGGCTCAGCTTTTGTTTGAGCAATATTTTCATGTATATTTTCTGCACGTTGTTGATGGTTGTGCTTAGTACCCCCTGAAACGCTTTTTGGGTATTCTGATTTGAGGGTTTTTAAAAGGGAAATATTTGATATAGTATTATTTTAAAATTATCTGTCATCACCCCCTTTTTTCAGTTTAGGTAAGCCATAATACATTTTTTAATATAATTATCACATTTAATAAATACATATAAATCTTTTAAATATAAGTTGATTGTTTATTTTGAGAACTCTGAAGGTAATTAAAAGTCCAAAGTTAAGTGTGATAAAAAAATCTTTGTTAACAATTAAAAGCATTTCCTCATTGGGTATAAATTAGTCGAAGACTTAGATCCTTCTTCCCTCGACCCGAGGTCCAAGTTTTAAAGGCGTCACAACCTTACAACGCATTACAACTTACTTGCTCAGGATGGGGGAGGATTCCAGAAATGGGTTTTTGACTTGGGTGTGGGGGTTGCCTTGATTCTCTTCGAGTGTGCCAGGGTTGCCAGGCCCACTCACCCCCACTGACAGAGCATAATTGCGCCGCGTCTGAGGCAAAATGAAAATATTTGAAGCAGCGAACTTTTCAAGTGTAAAAAATTTAATTTCGAAATGTAGGTTTAACGAACGGAAATTGCTTTCACTCTCCGCGGAAAATGGAGTAAGCCCTTGCCGTTGTTATTGTTGCCTGATTTTTCTCAACTTTTCGCCTTCCTGTTGTTGCCGCTTTTCGGCTGGGCAAAAACAAAGTGAATGCAAAGCCAGAAATAAAGTCGGCCGAAAGCATCGCATCCCAGGCGAAAGCGTATCTCATTTGTGTTTTCGTTTGCAATTTGTTTGGCTAACTTTCTGATTGAGCTCGTGGCCCATTGCGGCGCATAACAGGCGCAGAATGGAATTATTTAATGTTTTACATTTGGCCCAAATAGTCCCCCAGCCACCCAACTCGGCCCCATTTCCCCGATGGCAGACTGGCCGGGTAATTGCAATTGATTTGTCGAGCACTTTGCACGCCAATTTGTTTCTGGTCACGGTCAGTTTGGCGGGGAATGTGGTCAAGGCTGTGGGGTGCCAGCGAATGGCTCTCAGCAGGCAAAACTCGAGCAGTCTTTGATCTCGAGATGTGGAAACCAAATTAGCACCTTGCCAATTGCTCTGACCTACAAGGTGATGTAATCATTCAGTATAGAAGGAATGATGTTTTTGGATAATTTAGGGAAATATTTTATTCCATTTTCATGCCTTTATAAATTAATATATGGGGTATGGGCTTATCACGAATATTTTTTCAGCTACTTAGCCCATTTTTCCTGGACTCATGACACTTAAATCGGTTCGGTTAGCACTTGCCTTCCTAAATTGTCTTTACTGCACTTCATATAACGAAATGAAATTTGTAAAAACGTTTTATATTTATGAACTTCGTGGCTGGTCTCATATAAAATGGCTTGATTTAGTAAAGATTTACATAGCGCTCTCGATTTATTGGATATGGGCTCGTCAGAAGGCTTTGTAAAAACGAGACTCATCCAAAAAAAGTATACATTTAATACATATTCTTGTGTACTTGAATCAAACAATATGAACTAAGGCTACAATTATTTTTAAAATTTATTTCTAAGTTGGGCGAAAGTCCCGGCGGTACTGCAATACAGTTCAACCCTAGCTCCTAGCACTCCGTCTAAGTCAATAAAACAGTTTAATATTTGTTTTCCTTCAATGGAGGATATATCAGATCATAAGCTGATAAGAACAGATACTACACCTTAATCTAAGCTATAAGGCCATATGACGATAGAACCAGTTGGAAATTATTAAAGAAATGGTATTAAGATTCAATAAATTAATTTAGCCTTGCCTATTAAGCTACCTAAGTCCTACATTCAATAACAGAAACAACCATATCTTAAGGGAGTGTTAAGTTAGGATCCTTATAGTTCAAAATAAGTTTATTATATGATGACTGGTACAGCAAATGGTTTGATGTTGTACGCCACTCTGGTTTCTCTTTAACTGTTGAATAAATCGTTTGCCTTTTACTAATGGCTTCTATAGGTCCGTCCATAAAGATGCTTTAAATGTATGCTTATATTTAAGGAATTAATATTACACACAACAAACTCAGTTTGTATGAACCATAGTTGGATTTCATAATTTACCTTTTCTTAAATGTAAAAATATTTTAATAACAATTTTAAGCCGCAGATTGTGCATTGATTTATAAAATTAAATTGAAAAAAAAGTTTAACACCATTTATTTTAGTTCGAGTAAGTTTACAAAGTTTGCAAGGTTGCGACTCTACTTAACGCACATTTTACCATTTAAGCCCTTCCATCTGAACTCTCAGTAAACCGCGCGAGGTCGAAGTGCATTTCTGTAAAGTGCTAAAAGGTTAAAAGCCAGCTGACCTGGCCTCTCCTAGCCGTCCCTTGTGAAAAGGATTACCAAAAATAGTGGCTAAATGTGTGTAACAAAAAACAACACTCACGGACAAACCTCAAGCGCACTCTAGCCAACTTTTTGAAACCCCCGAACCCGATCCCAAACTTTCGGCAAATATGTTGCCAAAGGTTTTTTTTCGGCCAGTGTTCAAATGCAGAATGTTGGCCGAGAGTTCGATAAACTCCCTGGCCACTATATATAACATTAATAACATTATCGGCACCCAACGCCCGAAACAAATGCAAAACAAACTAATCAAACTTTCTCCAGGATAACCGAAACGACACAAAATGTGCAAAACAAATAGCTTTATTTTCTAATTCAGCTAGAAAGCATTTTCCAGACTTTGTTCCCGAGCAGAATGGACGAGCGAGTGGGGGAAAAATCGAAAATCAATTTCTGTTAATGTGCCTGGGCCAAGAGTTTGCTGCCAAGAGACCTTGCCACCGCCCATTCAACCCAGTCACCGAGCCACCCGACCAACCAAGCCATGAACACCCAGCATGCGTTGGCCAGAGCATATTTTTGCATAAAGTTTATGCAAACATTTTTACTCGAAACCCGCATAAATTACGGCGCCCGGCTCGGTGCCCTAATAAACCCTATCTGGCGGATGTCTGGGGCTCAGTAAGTGGCCCGGCTGCTCCTGCCCATGGTTCCACTGGTTCTGGTTCTGCCGCTTATTTTGCATGTCATTTGCGTCTGAGCACTCTGCGGCCCAGATTCTGGAGGATATGGAGGGCTCTGCGGGAATGGTTTGGACCGAACTTGCACTGCTTGCCTCCCTTCGGTGGGCGGCAGATAAATCTTCTGTATTTATAGGTCCAAAATTACCACAAAAATATACATTTTCATTTGCTTGCGAAGTGTAAAAAGTCCCAGTTACCCAAGCCTTTACATTTCTCCAGTTATATTCAGTCTGTGTAGGGAGTAGTACACAATTTCTAACTCAAGGTAAATATTTATTTCCATTTTTTTCTTTTGAAAATAATTGTTACAAAGAAAATAGAAGGAAAGACAGAAGTAAACAAGATTTTTCAAGAATCTCTTTTCATTTAAGTCGCTTTTGTAATCATTTGGCAGCCGACACCTTCTACTTTCTTAGTTACTCATCCTGTAAAAGATAATAATCTCTGCTTTAAATTTAAGAAACGTAGATACCAACACACAGTCACGGAATGGCCCCAGTTTTGAGGTCAAAAAGACCAACCCCAGGTCGAACCCAACCCAAGCGCAAAATTAAACAGGAACATGTGCTTTCGAATATAATAAGAGAAGGGATGAAGAAGTTAGGCGAAGCATCGCCGGATGATGTTAAGGTCCTTGAATTGCCTAGAGAGTTGAGATGTTCTGTTACGTCGATTTCTAGTATCCAGGAGAGTAATCCTCCTGCACCACAGCAAGCTAATAAGCCAAAGCCAAACCATTCAACGGACCAAACGCAGAGCGTTTTGATGAAAGTTTCACCTGGTACTGATTTGAATGGCTTCAAGCCGTTAACTACAGTGTCGGTGAATGATAACCCCTTCGTAAACTTTCTCCAGGATATATCCGTGGCTCAAGGCAGTAAGCCCGTAAATAATATACAGGAAGCATTGGATAAATGGCGTATAATGACACCCGAGCAAAGGAGAGACTTTTATCCTGAGAACTATGTCCTGAAATTATTTAACCAAGTGCAAAATCGAGGTGATATTTTTAATGCTGTTGGGCTTCACCCGGATAATGATTTACAAGAGACTGTGGTTTATGAAGGGCGTGAACTTTCAGAAGCTCAATTCAGTGGGGCTAAGGAGCAGAAACCAAAGGTCAAGGCTGAAACTAATATGAAGAAGACGACCCAAGTGCGTAAGCCTGTTAAGCGGTTGAAGGCAAAAGCACGCGGAGTGGTGACCCCGAAAAAACCGCCCAAGATACAAGGTGCTTTATCGGTACCGGTTCGTCGCACAAGTAGTGTCCCGGCCTATAAACATTTTTTTCGCAAAATCATGCAAAGCAATCCTGGCTTATTATCCGTGGAGGTAGCCTCCTTATGGCGTAAAATGGACCCATCCGATAAGGATTTCTATCGAATATCCAGCACCAATTGCATAAAAAAAGCTCAAGAGGCCAAAACGCAAGTCCAGAAGATAGTGCGATCCAAGACCAAGAAAGTTTCGAAATTGCCCAGTCCAAGGCGACAAGTAAGAAACCGGAAAATTTCACGATCTACCCAGGTTCCTGAGAATGCCTTTGATGACTCGGAAAGCGACTCTGATGTTAGAGGTGGCCAACTGCAAGTTTGGACAGGAAACATTTCAGAGTCATGGCAAAGTAGGCTCTCCTGGCCGAGATTTGAATATTTATCAAATGCAATAGACAAGGTAAAGCATTTATTTAACTAAATATTTGCTCAAGTTTTAATTATAAATGTTAAAATGTTTTTAATAAATAAACAATAAAACACCAAAAAAACCTAAACACTATTTTATAAAGGCTGAACTGTGATACGTTTTTGAATTGAATAGGCTAAAGGATGTTTCTGATTAAATGTCCTACAGAATTTGAAAAACATTGTTTATTAAATTATACTGTTGTTTAAACCTTGACCTTTTTCGGTGGCAGCTGGAGGTGACTAACTGTAATAAACATTAATGTAGGCACTAAACTTAGTTAATTATAGCCCAAAAATCATAATTTACAATTTAAACTATAATAATATTCACCAAAATCAAGGACCGTATAAACTATTTATTTGAGATTTTTATTTTAAAGGTCTACTAAGATTTTTATAAATTTTTTTTAACCATTTAGGATGATTTGTATATACTTCTTAGTAATGCGTATATATATATGTTCTGTGCCTTTCAAATTTTAATATTTTACTTAATTATACTTTGAGAAAAAGATTAAAAATACTGTTATTTTTGACGTTAAAAGTCAGAAAACGCATACAAAATAATCACTAATAACTCCTTTTTACGTTCCCTGTCAAAATACATTTTAAAAGCCACCCCGAAAGTGTTGAATTGTTGAATATCTATGCGAAGTGCAATTGTTTCTGCTACTTGTAGCTCTGCTACCCAAAACCCTCCACAATTATTGCCGTTCTGAGGGCGGAATGGCCACTGAGGTGAGTCAATAGGGCCTTTGTCTACTTTCGACTTTCCTGCATCGGTTCCTGCTCCTGTGCTAACAAATTTCTCGCTATTGTTTACTCGGTTCAGAGTGCGTCGTTCCAGCCGCCTGAACTCTCATAGCTGCTTCCGTTTCCGGCTTTGTTTTCGTTTCGTTCCGTTCCGTTCTGGCCGCCCGTTTCGAAAACCTCGGGGCAGCCCTCCACATTTGGTGTTTATTTTATTGTACATTTGCTGCCGGCAACTCCGCTGAGCCGTGAACTGTGCGGCGTGTCATCATCTGCCTCGGCTTCAGTTGCAGAACATCAGCATCATCAGACCCAGAATCACCACCATTATCATCATCATCATCGTCATGTCCATATGAGAGGTAAATTTCCTCAGTGGCCCATAGACGCGCGGGGATGGGCATGGTGTTGATGTCTGTGCCTGTTGTTCTGGCTGCTGTTATTGTTGTCTTTTGGCTGCTTTTTAACGTGCGCCTTTCGTGTTATTTACTTAACAATTTACTGAATAATTTAAGCACCTTTTCCACCCAGCAGGCGGTGAAGGCTGTCAGGATGGGCATGTTCGTCCTGGCAAACAGGTGCGGACTGCAATTAATGGATTGAAAAAATCAAATCCATTGAAATATTTAAAACCTCCAGAATCTCCGAAAAAATGTTGGAAAATTGACACAATGCTAACATGTTGTTTAAAAATTTAAAAAATATAATTTTAGTTGTTCCCTGACGCCAAAAAACATGACAAGGTTGTGATAAATCTATACAACTCGTATTATTTTTATGTCATTTTTTTACCCTTGGTTTTTCAGAAAATACTTGCTTAGCTTTTTAATATATTGTATCTTAAAATAAATTAAAAGTGAAACAAAAATACTCTCTTATTGAATTTCTTGCCAAACATAGTCAAAGCCAAACAGATTAAATTTTTGCTTTTCAGACATATTTTTATTTAAGAGCAATATTTGGTATTTTATGATTTTTAAATGACCTCTAGTCTAACCCACCTCGATTTCGTCCTTGTTCCCTGTATTTTTTCTGTTGCCGCCTTGCTTCCTGTTTGCTCCTTGCTGGCCAGCACCACGCCCCCTCTTCGCCATCCTCCGAAGGGCGTTGAATTATGAACCTGACTTTCCTTTTGGGGGCTTGAGGCTGTACGGAAAGTAAAACTTTCACCTGAGCCTGTGTGTGTGTGTGGTGTGGCTGATAGTTGTCCACAGACTCACACACACTCGCTGACAATCAGCCGCACACCATCGCTGCCCACACACACAGTGTACAGGGAAAAACTTCCACGGGCTTGTGTTTACTTAGTCGAGTCTTTGACTGACATTTAATGCGGTTACCAACACACGTGTGTGCGTGCTCGCCCCACTGTGTTGATAATGTGCATAATAAGCCTTAATTAATGTTAAATAATGAATTTTCTCATTTGCACGCCGTCAGCGTGGAAAAGGCATTGCCTTCGGCATTTCCTTGTTTCCATTTTAATTCGAGACAAACACACGACTTTCAGTGGGCTTCCAAATATTTGCAGTTTAACCCCTGGTTGCCCACCGAAAAGAGTCGACTTCGAACAGTTGGGGAGGTTAAAAATTCGTTGTGAGTGGAGGTCCTTTGTTGTGGTTCTTCCACCTTTGCCCTTTACAAAATTTGCAGAAGCCACAACACAAACATTTTAAAAATCAGCAAGTTTTACTTTTGGGCACTTTGTGTGCTGGCCAATTAAATGACCTTATCAAAGGGGCTTTATCAGGCTGGCAGGCCGTTTGACAGCCGCAATTTACACGAGCCTAATTGAATGCTGAACAAATTAATAACAAGTTCTCAGGGGAAGGAAAAAAGACAAATGGTGAAATGTTTTTTCACAATGGATCTGCAGATCTGTAAGCAACAACTACCCGTTTTATTGTTTTGAGCTCCTGTCCAAAGTTGTGGGAACTCTTTTGTTTGGATAAAACTTCTTGGGAAACTTCATTCCCAATCCCCAAAAGAAGCCAGTCCTCGAAATGCCAAACTTTGCGTGGGCAACTCTTTTAAATCGAACACTTTTGTTTATTTACAAGCATTTAACCTAATTATACGAGCAACTTTCCGCATAACAAATATCGGCAGGGCTCCTTGGACCCCAAATTCAGGGCGGGATAACAGGAGAGGATGGGAAAAGACGGCAGTTCGAGCATATAAAAAGTTCAAACTGTCAGAACTTTGACAGCAATATTGTTGAGTTTTATGTACAACAAGCGGAATAACTAAAACAGTGCAGAAATTAGAGGCAACATACCGAAAATGTCCGAAAACTTTGCCCTCGATTCCTGCAACTTTCCCAGCTCGTTTCTTATTATGAAAGTTGTTGTTGTCCTGGCTGCTGTTTAGCCGATGGTGGTGTTGTTGCTGCTGTTGTCGCAGGATAAAATCAATGCCGGCATATTTTATCCTTTTTCCTACGCAGGCACACAAAAATAAACGTATATGTATACGCGAGTGAAACACACCACTACACTGACACAGCAAGGAGTAGGAAATCCAACTGAAAGGCCAAAAAAACAGTTTCCCAACTCAGCGCTTTTTTATATGTGTATATATTTTTTTTGTTATTTTGTTGTAGTTGATTAGCCGCCTGATGCTGTGGATTTTATTATTTTTTGTATTATTTTGTCGACTGGCTTTTCTTTGCTTTATGCGAGCGTGTTTTGTGCGGTTTTTATGGGCCTTGATTTGATTGCATTTGTTTCTGGCGCTATGGCATATATTTTTTCCTGTTTGGGCTGGCACTTTCGCTGACAGCCCTTGGGGCAATTATTTTTTAGACCCGAAAGTGCTTCAAACGCTTCAATATTTGTTTGATTTATAGTGAATACTTGTGGGCGTTGTTTTTTGTTGCAGCGATTGTCCTCGAGTTGGTTGTTTGTTTTATTTTTACGCCCCCCTCTTTTGTTTTCTGTCACTTTTTCGCAGTGGGTGGCATGCGCTGAGTGGCATGTCAATCAAAATCAATCAAAATGTTCGCGTTTTCGCGCTCGTTAGCGTTTACACATGTTGTTGTCGCTGGTTCCTCAAATTGCGGCAAATGGATTTCAGGTTGTTTTCCGTAGTCTCCCGTTTCCCGTCGTCTCACGTTACCCGGCGCACTCGGAAAATCCTGATGGCGGCACGTACTGCCCCCTGCCTGCGCCACTTTCTCCTGGCCACACACACAGCACACGGACCCTCGGGCACCACGCGTTTTCTCTGCGTTGACCGAACCACTGGTCAACTTTTCGGGTCTGAGTAACTCCGTAAAGTGATCCCTCCGGCGGAGAGCTCCACGGGCGGGGCTGCGGATTGGAAACCGATCGGATGCAATCGAATCGACTGAGATGGGGGCAGAGCGCAGCGAAGCGGACTCGAACGGATCGACTGCGGCGTGTCTGTCGCTCACGGCGGACGCTTTTCAACTGCTGCGCCCGCAACGCTCGACGGATTTCCAGGCAGGCGGACGCCTCCGCCAAGTGAAAACCAGGCTGCCTTCGTCACTTCTCTCGGCGACGTCCTCGTGCCTCGTTTTTCGCTCGGGAAACTGTTATACTCTCTCTCTCTAGGGAAAGAGAGAGTACCAGAGAGAGCTCGCGCGAGGGAAAGTCGTCGAGAGAGCGCACCACTTTCACCGGTTTCCCAGCCAAAGAACCAGAGCTACTTTATTTATATTTTCAGTGTGATTTATGTGCTTATAAACTTCTTAATAAACGGATTTATCATTAGCATATTAATACTCATTTTTGTGTCAATTAAAGAAGCTAAGACATAAATCAGAGAGATAAAAACTTTTTCGATAACACGTAATACTAAACTGGCATTTGCAGATCCATTAAAAAGACTAGGATTTTATTGCGTTTATTACACTATATTTGTATTGTGCATATTGACCTTTAAATGTCAAAGAAGATATGCCCATTTATAGGCTATTATATTCCTTAAATTCGTTTCAACAAAATATATAATATGAAATACAACACGCAAAACTGTTATGAGAACTAGTGAAAAATAAATTATTTGTTTAAACACAAAAAAATATGTTAAACAAGTAGGAAGTTAATATTTTCTTGCAAAAAAACCGTTGAAGTAATAAGAACATTAATATATTTTCTTTTTTTTTAAAGGTTTTTGTGAATTTATTAAATTTATAAATTAATAAGCAAGATCGATAATTAAAATATTATCTTTAAATATACCCATTAAAGCTAAAACTCTTCCATTTCCTAAATCAAACCAAATAAATCAAATACAATTTAGGAACTAATTTAGTAATTATTATTATTATAAAACATTCGACTATAATGTAAAATTTACAGGCGAACTTAAAATAAGCCTTTATTTAGTAATTAAAAGTTATTATATATTTATATTTCAATCAAATAAATTATAATGCATAATTTTTACACGTCTCAATTATTTGTTGTTTAAAATAACAAATATTATAGGTTTACTCTGAGTCAATATCAAATTATATCATTATTTTAAAGAAAACTTTAAAAAAACTTGAAAATAAAATCAAAATAAATTCATTTATTTGCAGAGACCATAAGCTCTCGGAGAAATACTATTTAGCTGTTTACCTTTTTAGAATAATCAAGGTGTAATTCACTTACATGTTTCTGCTTTGATATTGTTATTGTTTATGATTTCCTCGCAGCCTCTCCACCTATTTTGATAAGCACTATCGAGTTTCCCTTTCTTTTTTCCTTTTCCCTATAAGTATAAGAGCGAGTAACAAACTGTTCCCAGAAAATATCCCCTTATAGAGCTCTCTCGCAGTATCACAGATGTTATAACAGAGCGTCCGTTCAGGGAGTCGGCGCCACTCTGGAAATGCAAAGCACCAAAAGCCAGAAAAGCCAACCTCAACTCGCAGCTGACTGCGTGAGCTGGTGGGAAAACTTCACCACGGACTCAGGCGTGAAAACTCCCAAGCTGGAGTCCTCGGCCGGCGGGATGTGTGGCCGGAATCGGAGGCTCAGATCGGGAGTGCATTTCCACCTAACCCCGCCCAAATGCCCGTGACACCGGCGGAACGGGTCTCTTGGGGGTGCCAAAAATCCATTTTGGCCAGAGCCAGGGACAAGAAAAAGTCAAGACGGGGAGCGTGGGATGCGAAAGCCAAGAGTAAAAACAGAGGGGGCAGTGGGCTTTCGCCCAGCAGCGAAAAATATCGATTCGGTTCGATTGTTGTTGCCTGGCCGCCCACAGCGAATTGTATATTGCTTTATAAGCAGCTTCTGTCTTTGGAACCCAGAAAAAAAGGAAGAAAATCAGCAGACCCTGCCCTGCGGTTGCTTATTTGGCTGCTTTAGTTTGGCTGCCATCAAGTGAAGTCCTTTTCGCGATTTCAAAAAACAAACCAGGGGATGGGAACTTTTCGTTTTACGCTGTTTTTCTTGTTTGATGCCTGCGCTGCTTTTCTCCTACCATCGAAATGAGTAAATAACCAATGGAGCAGATAGAAATGTTTATTGTTATTCCTCGGGACTTCCCCGCCCTGGCTCCTTGGTCATTCAAATCAATTCCTTAGGCAGCTTGTAGCCGAGTTGTTTCTCCATTTCCATCTGCATTTTTATTTAAATTTACTTGGCCCGGCATAAAGGACAAGATGGTCGTCTTGCTGGGCAAACGAGCCATTGCACATTATGAATGTTGGCTTACAATCTCAAACCCCCTGCCAACCCCCCCGATTTCTCCTCTGCCGGGGAAGTACAATAATTAAGGCTGCGTTAAGTATACGCACCTTGGGCGCGGTGCCGCGAATCTTGTTCGCCTTGTTCTCGGCTCTACTCCCGCATAGTTTGTGTCGCATTAAAACTATTTAAGTTTTTAATGCCCTAACAGCGATGATCTTGTGCCTGGCATATAAATTACTCAGCCGCCCCTTGGCCCCGCCGCCCCTGCATTAACGGAGCTTCAAAGGCCTCCGCCCTTCCGCCACCCAACACCCACCACCCACTTCCGTCCACCCAGCAGAATGTCCTTGCCACCGAGCGATGCAAGCGTGGCAAGCGCGGAAAGCAGCGAAGCTCCAAGACGTTGAGCACTTTGCCAAAGTTTTTACTTGGCTCGTTGGCAATTTTTACTTTGTTGCTTTATAGGGATTTATGTTTAATCGGCCAAAGGTTACTTCAACTCGTCCGCACACACACACTCGCTCTTTGGCAGACATGTTAAAAGCTCCTTTGTTTCAGAGACAGGACGAAAATGGCAGGATACGAGTGGAGTAAGCTGTTACTTGCATTGTCAACACCGAAAGTGGAATTTATTTTGTCTCTTTAGCATCACCTCAGGCTTGCATGAATATGCCTTTGAATGTGAAAATGTTTCTTTAAAAACTGACCAATTGAGTCAAAACTCCCTAGAAGAATATTAAGAGATTTAAGTAAATCTCCGATTATCCAATATGAGAACATGTTTCTGATGGTATTTAAGAAGCTTTACAAGCTGTAGATAGAAATCCATGTTCTATTCCCAATCGCTTTTCAAAATTTCAGATTGAAGCAATAAATCAACTTATAGTGACTTACGTAGTTCAACTCACCAATCTCTAATAGACTCTATGAAAAAATAAACAGAAATACTGCATGTATTTTAAGCAATTCTATTTTGCTTCTCTGTAAATAGTTTCCTGTAAGTCTTTAAAACTTCGTCAGATGCCTAGAAGCTCTTCACATAGCAGCTTCTTAACAATATTATCCCATTAAATACCAGGCAAGGCAAAGAGAGTCAAATAAATAATCCATCTGCAAGCTGAAGTGCATTTACCCCTCGCTGCTGGCCATTCATTAACCCTCTCTGAGCCGTTTATTTACTTGGATAAACTGTTACAATTGTCCCCAGCTCAGGTTCGGTCAATAAACCAACTTTCCCTGGACTTTAATTGAAGAAGTGGCACCAGCTGCATGCAAATCTTGGCTAGGAGTTGCACTCCGACAAAATTCGTAAATGAATCTAAAAAGTATTCATTAAATAACCTCTTTTGCAGTAAAGCATATAGAATGAAACATTTTATTAGTACGTTTTTGGCAATAAAGTTTAGATTCTTGGTATTAAAATGCCAACTAATCAATTACTTTTTGGGAAACTTTAAAGTTATATTTAAATGAATTATTACTATAATTAACTTATTTAGTCACATTTTTTATTAGATACTGTTTTCAAATGGGGATCTTAATATACTTTAAGGTCAAGCTTTTTGAAAAAATGCAGCATCAATTAATCGAAGTTAAAAATTGTAAAAGGCGAATATTTTTAACTAATACATTTACGTAAATTTCTTAAAGGATATGATTTGAAAACACACATATTTTATAAAAACTTTTTGCAAAAGTGAAATAATTAGAAAAATATACTATACTAATCGATATTTAGCTCATTTAGACCTAAAAAGATTTTATTTTAATCTTTCTTGATTGGATGTATTTCAAAAATAGGCTGTCAGAGTTTTTCAAAAGATGAATAGTTTTCAAAAGCTTTTATTTGTATTTACCGCACCGAATTACACAAAATACGATTTTAAAGGATCTTAAAATTTTTAAGGTAAAATTAAGAATGGCTTACCATCGTGTTAATTGAAGCCGCCGTGGGCGAAGATGCGGCATGCAACTTTGAGCCAGAGGTACGTACGTTTTATCTACAGTATGTGCTCGACTGAGGGGCAACATTGATTGGCAGTGCGAGACGTAGTTCTTTGATTTGCGTCTAGACCGAGCAGCGCGTGCCTCAGTGTCGACGGAAAACAGCAGAGCCAAGCTCGAGGAACGAAAAACAAGTTGGCTCGGAAAATTCATAGCCGCGCGCGAAAGTTTATTAGATGCTCTTTGCTGTCTGTCTGTGTCCTTTGTCTTTGCTTTTGTTGCCTTTGAAGCGCCGCCAGAATTTTAATTTCCGCCCGGAGCGTGTCGCACGTGGCCGCACTGTCAAGGAAGTTGACAAAGCCGGCAGCTCCTTTGCTTTACGGCCAAGTACTGCCGACCTTTGTGGGCGTTGTGGGCCATCAAGTTGGCCGCCCGTCTGTAATTATGACCCGCTCTAATTAAAAGTCAAAATAGTTGACCTTGAGTCCGGGGAAATGTACGTAGCGCGTACAAGTGTGAGAGCGTTTGCAGTTCCTAAAAAAAAATTGAGGGTGCGGGAAATTGAAAAACAAAATATTAACGGACAGGGAATATTCATGGGAAATAGTTGGCGATTGTTTTCGACGCATTCAAGCGTTCAATGCACTCCAAATATTTGTTCAAATATTTGCCAACACGCTCCAGCTTTTCTGCTGTTTCTGTTTCACTTCTGCTCGCCTTGTTAATGCTATTGTTGTACAACTTTTGTGCAAAATATTTTACGCCCCACAATTTCCTGGAAAATCTACATTTCGCCCAGGACTTTTTTGCTTTTCGGGGCAGTGCTCAAACACATAC